TGAGAAAAACCCTCCAGAAAGTAGGCATAGAAGGAACATACCTCAACATAATAAAAGCCATATATGATAAACACACAGCAAACATTACCTTCAATGGTGAAAAATTGAAAGCATTTCCCCTCAAAGTCAGGAACAAGACAAGGGTGCCCACTCTCATCACTGCTATTCAACATAGTTTTTAAAGTTTTAGCCACAGCAATCAGAGGGGAAAAAAAAGGAATAAAAGGAATCCAGAGTGGAAAAGAAGAAGGAAAACTCTCATTGTTTGCAAATGACATGATCCTCTACATAGAAAACCCTAAAGACACCACCAGAAAATTACTAGAGCTAATCAATGAATATAGTAAAGTTGCAGGACATAAAATTAACACTGAGAAATCCCTTGCATTCCTACACACTAACAATGAGAAAACAGAAAGAGAAATTAAGGAAACAATTCCATTCACCATTGCAAAGAAAAGAATAAAATACTTAGGAATATATCTATCTAAAGAAACAAAAGACCTATATATAGAAAATTATAAAACACTGATGAGAAAATCAAGGATGACACAAATAGATGGAGAAATATACCATGTTCATGGATTGGAAGAATCAATGTGGTGAAAATGTGTATACTACCAAAGCAATCTATAGATTCAGTGCAATCCCTGTTAAGCTACCAATGGTATTTTTTCAGAGGATTAGAACAAATAATTTCACAATTTGTATGGAAATACAAAAAACCTCTAATAGCCAAAGCAATCTTGAGAAAGAAGAATGGAACTGGAAGAAGCAATCTGCTTGACTTCAGACTATAGTACAAAGCTACAGTCATCAAGACAGTATGGTATTGGCACAAAGACAGAAATATATATCAATGGAACAAAATAGAAAGCCCAGAGATAAATCCATGCACTTATGGACACCTTATCTTTGACAAAGGAGCCAAGAATATACACTGGGGAAAAGACAATCTCTTTAACAAGTGGTGCTGGGAAAACTGGTCAACCACTTGTAAAAGAATGAAACTAGAACACTTTTTAACACCATACACAAAAATAAACTCAAAATGGATTAAAGATCTGAATGTAAGACCAGAAACTATAAAACTCCTAGAGAAAAACATAGGCAAAACACTCTCTGACATAAATCACAGCAGGATCCTCTATGACCCACCTCCCAGAGTAATGGAAATAAAAGAAAAAATAAACAAATGGGACCTAATTAAATTTAAAGCTTTTGCACAATGAAGGAAACTATAAGCAAGGTGAAAAGACAGCCTTCAGAATGGGATAAAATAATAGCAAATGAAGCAACTGACAAAGAATTAATCTCAAAAATATACAGGCAGCTCATGCAGCTCAATTCCAGAAAACTAAATGACCCAATCAAAAAATGGGCCAAAGAACTAAACAGACATTTCTCCAAAGAAGACATACAGATGGCTATCAAACACATGAAAAGATGCTCAACATTACTCATTATCAGAGAAATGCAAATCAAAACCTCAGTGAGGTACCATTACATGCCAGTCAGAATGGCTACTATCAAAAAGTTACAAACAATAAATGCTGGAGAGAGTGTGGAGAAAAGAGAACCCTCTTACACTGTTGGTGGGAATGCACACTAGTAAAGCAACTATGGAGAACAGTGTGGAGATTCCTTAAGAAACTAGAAATAAAACTGCCATATGACCCAGCAATCCTACTGCTGGGCATACACACTGAGGAAACCAGAATTGAAAGAGACATGTGTACCCCAATGTTCATCCCAGCACTGTTTACAATAGCCAGGACATGGCAGCAACTTAAATGCCCATCTGCAGATGAATGGATAAGAAAGCTGTGGTACATATACACAATGGAGTATTATTCAGCTATTAAAAAGAATCAGTTCTAATGAGGTGGATGAAACTGGAGCCTATTATACAAAGTGAAGTAAATCAGAAAGAAAAACACCAATACAGTATACTAATGCATATATGTGGAATTTAGAAAGATGGTAATGATGACCCTATGTGTAAGACAGCAAAAGAGACACAGATGTAAAGAGCAGACTTTTGGACTCTGTGGGAGAAGGCGAGGGTGGGATGATTTGAGAGAATAGCATTGAAACACGTATATTGCCATGTGTGAAATGGATTGCCAGTCCAGGTTCAATGCATGAGACAGGGCACTCAGGGCTGGTGCACTGGGATGACCCTGAGTGATGAGATGGAGAGGGAGGTGGGAGGGGGGTTCATGTGATGGACATATGTACACCCATGGCTGATTCATGTCAATGTATGGCAAAAACCACTACAATATGGTAAAGTAATTAGTTTCCAATTAAAATAAATTAATTTACAAAAAATAAAAATAAAACATACAGAGAGAAGAAATGTTACCTCAGCCCAGAGTGTGTCTCAAAGCACATATTTTCTAAACTTTAGTTGAGGGGGGAGAAACTAATAGACATCAGGACTGCAAATTTTCCCACTAGTAGTTACGGAGAAAGTATATGGATTAGATTATATGCTTCAGCCATGCAATGTATAGCTCCACTACAGTTTCACAGAAAACAAAGAACTTTTTTTTTTCTTTCTTGTCTGGAATAGTAGACAGGAAAGGCCCACTTTACTCATATATCAAACCCCCACCCCCACCCCCAGATCCAGGAAATAAGAACAATGAGGACTGGAAATTCTTTTTGGATTAAGCTTGTTCAGTCTACAACTGGGTACCATGTGATCTGGTGTTTGTGAGGCGTCTCATTCAAAGGTAATGGGACTAATTTTGTAAATAATAAAGATCATTAGTATTGTAAGTGTCCTTAAAGGAAACTTACTTACAAAATTAGTTCTATTATCTTTGAATGAGATGCCTCACAGACACCGGATCACATGGCCCAGTTGCAGACTGAAGAAACTTAATCCAAAAAGGATTTAGACATTTCCTTAAAGAAGTATGGTAGCTTCCCTTGTAGCTCAGTCAGTAAAGAAACCACCTGCAGTGCGGGAAACCTGGATTCGATTCCTGGGTCAGGAAGATCCCCAGGAGAAGGAAATGGCAACCCATGCCAGTATTCCTGCCTGGGAAACACCATGGTCAGAGGAGCCTGGCAGGCTACAGTCCTTGGGGGTTGAGGCGGGGCAGTCACAAGAGTCCATCACGACTTAGCGACTAAACCATCACCATAGAGATGTATTAATACCGAGGCCTTTTGCTGAAAAAGCAAAAAGGAAAGCCTCCTACAACATTATCTCTTCTCTCTCTGAAGCTTTTTACAAGCTCCTTACTCGTGACAGCTAAAACCTCCTCCTGCTCTTTTTTTTTTTTTAATGTTTATTTTTTATTCTTTTATCTGACTGTGCAGGTCTCAGATGTGGCATGTGGGATCTAATTCCCTGACTAGGGATGGAAGTGAGGCCCTCTGCATTGGGACTGCGGAGTCTTAGCCACTGGACCACCAAGGAAGTTCCTCCTCCTGCTCTTTCAACCCCGGAGTCCCTCAGAGTTTTGCTTCTACTTTGTTCATTACCTTTTCCTACCTTTTCCCTACATGGTGTAAAAGTGAGAAGTCATGGGGTGAGGTGTGCCTGGGCTCCATCCACATCAAGGAGACGACTGGAGGCTTTTCGCTATTCTTCTCTTCTTGGTAAAAAGCATGTGGCATCCCTTAGAATATACAGTCTCTTTTCCTGAGTGTTTGTCTACATTCCCTACTTTGTTATAGTTAAAAGGAGAAAATCTCCTGGGAGAAATTCTTGTTCAAAATAAACCCTTCTTGTACCAAGTTTCCCGTAACTTGAGCCCTATAACATCATATGTTTGCTAGAGTGTGATAAGGACTATTTTAGCCTATTACATACCAACTGTCTTTAGGAATCTCCTTGATTTCTGCTTTTCATTAGTGAAGAAGAAGGCTGTTATAAGAAGGAAAAAAAAAAAAGAACCTTTTTGAAAGAGATGAAGAGATGGTGAACCAAGGAAGTAAAGAAACTCTCCTTCAATATAATTTAGAGAAAAGGAAGGACCCCACAGGTAGGACATTGTTTAGTCTGCTAGAGTTGCCATAACAAAATACCACAGACTGGTTGACTTAAAACAATAAAAATTTATTTTCTCATAGTCCTGGAGGCTAGCTGTCCACGGTCAGTGTTCAGCAGGGTTGACTGGCTTGCAGATGGTGCCTTTTCCCTGTGTCCTTACATTGTCCTTCCTCTTCTCATAAGGACACCAGCCATAATGGATTAGGACCCATCTGTATGACCTCATTTTGCCTTAATTACCTCTTTAAAGGCCCTATCTCCAACTACAGTCACATTCTGAGTTATTAGGGGTTAGAACTTCAATATTTGAATTATGAAAACTGAAAGTCGCTTAGTCATGTCCAACTCTTTGCAACCCCATGGACTATACCATCCATGGACTCCGCCAGGCCAGAATACTGGAGTGGGTAACCTTTCCCTTCTCCAGGGCATCTTCCCAACCCAAGGATTGAAGCCAGGTCTCCCACATTGCAGGCGTATGCTTTACCAACTGAGGTATCAGGGAAGCCCTTTTTGAATTATGAGGGAACACAATTCAGCCCATAACAGGTTTAAACTTTTCTAGAATTATACTTGGATATGACTTTGAAGACTTTAAGGATATTAATAAAAGTTTTTTAATTACTGAAAATATCAAAGTAAATGAAATCCAAATGACAAATAGAATGATAGACTATGGAATCTGGAATTGGGTGCAAGTTGCTGAACTTTGTCCCAATGTGGAGATGCCTTCAACCCTGCCAATTCTTGAACATTTTTAATAAGGCAAGCTTTTTAGACACCTTGCCATCATAATATTTTTTTTAAGTATGTCCTCTCTGAATAGAGATGAAATTTTTGAAGTTTCATACCAATTTGAATTTTTTTTATCTGGCATTTTCTGAATAGTGAATTGTCTCACACAACTGATTCTTTTTCAGCTAAGTGAAGTTTATCCTTTAAAGTGGTTTAAAAATTTTTAACTAATTTTCTTTAATAAAGAAACTCCTTATAGTTCAACTTAGATAGTTTCATTTTTTTAAAAAATCAGCTTTCTGGAGCAACAGTATATGAATTTTGCCTGCTTCCAGCAGATGGCACTGAAGATTGTACAAAGTAATTTTCTTCTGGGATAGAGTTTTCCAGCTCCTTCATGTCAGAGCAGAGCTGGAAAATAAGAGTATTTCACTTGATAAGTAAACAAGGGTTTTGCAGCCAAAGGAGACTAGCAGCTGGATCACCTAAAGGCCCCTCTGATTCTGATTTCTTGCTTCTACATTCACATGTTGAAGCTGTAACCACCACCACCCCTCATGTGACTGTTTTGGAAATAGGGCCTTTGAGGAGGTGACTAAGGTTAAATGAGGTCAGAAGTTTGAAACCCTGATCTGATATAACTGGTGCCCTTATAAGAAGAGACACAAGAGAGATAGCTCTCCCCACACCATGAGAAAACACAGTGAGAAGGTGGAGCCCTGCAAGCTAGGAAGAGAGCCCTCACTAGAACCCTGATCTCAGACTTCCAGCTGCCAGAAGTGTGAGACAATAAATTTCTGTTGTTTAAGCCAGTCAGGCTATGGTATTTTGTTATGGTGGCCTGCGCTAATACAGTATTTTTCTAGGACAAACAATACCCAGCCAGAGGAAAAGTAATTGGCGAAATGGAAACATCGCTGAATGGATGGCAAGATGATTAATGTCAACATCAAGCACATTAACCCATTAGGAGGTGGTTCGGTTTTGTGGTTTTTTTTTTTTTTAACATTGCAAAGGAAACTTTAGAGTCAATGAAAATACAGTACTTTGGATTGACCAAAATGCACAATGCACGTGAAACGAAAGTCATATAGTTTACCTGTTGACCATGTGGTTACTGTTCAAAAAGTCCCAGCTTCTAAAGCTGTACTTAGTAATCTTCCAAAATTTTAAATAAAGTTCTTAAATTGTAGCAATAAACAAAAAGATAAGATACACTTAAACAATACTGAGATTTATCAAAAGATGCTTAAGAAATTTCAACTCTCAAGTCTGAATTATAAAAATCAATATTTTGGTTAAATTATAAATTTGTTTATAATGCAATTATTTGCAATGATATGCAACTGTATAACCCTAATAATGATAACAACTGCTATAAAATCAGAATAGGTTTTTCGAAAAGTACTAAAAACATAAAAATATATAACCCCATTAATTACCTATAGAACATGTTCAATTTATGCCTAAATTTCAGCATTTACTGTATCACCACAGATCTAATTAAAAAAATCACATCTAACAGTAAGGCAAAACCACCTAAGAATGGCATATTTGTTCATGTCTCAATTTGTGAAAATGCCCTTAATTTGTTGATGTTGGTCAAACAAATTTCAACTCTGCTATGCAAAGGAACAGAAGATAATCTGCTTTGCAATGAGTTTAAAGTTCAATTGCACACAGGCAACATTCTACAGATGAAAAAAAAAATGCTAACTGAACTATAGGTATTAAATACTGAAAAAAGTTAAGTTTATTATAATTTATTTTAGTTAACAGTCTAGGAAGTTCCCAGCTATCAGCAGTTCCATGGCAATTTCAGGTGTAATTGGGAACTCAGGAATCTCCACGGAATGAACCTTGTATGTGAGATACATGCATACTTATGGTAGCACATGTGAAGAGATCTCTCTAAAATTGACTTTATTAATTTCATTCTCAGCAAACTGACCTGGACCACTCAACATGGCTTTAATTGTTCCTGATGTTAGCTCGTGTTCTTTTTTTACAATAAATTCATGACCATCAGAATTGGAGAAGGAAATGGCAACCCACTCCAGTGTTCTTGCCTGGAGAATCTCAGGGATGGTGGAGCCTGGTGGGCTGCCGTCTATGGGGTCGCACAGAGTCGGATATGACTGAAGCAACTTAGCAGCAGCAGCAGCATGACCATCGGAAGATACCGATTTGACATATACGGCATCAGGGCCCTCACGACCACCATAGGTTTTCTCTTTGCCATCCATTAGATTCTTATGAAATTCTACTTTGCATCCAGAAGAACATTAGTAGTTGTTTGCCATTCCCACAGTCCACAGTCACCACACCTGGTCCCCAAACCTACACCACAGCTCCCTACCTGCCTGCCATCATGGGTTCTGGGGAAGTTGGAGGAATCATTTCTACTGGGTCACTGGTGGGTCAGTATCTTAAAAAAGTACTACTGGTGTAGAAAGCCATGGATGTGCCAGACCCATTTAAATCTATACTTCAACATGTTATTGTTGTTCAGTTGCTCAGTTGTCTCTGACTCTTTGTGACCCCATGGACTACAGCATGCCAGGCTTCCCTGTTCTTCACCCAGAGCTTGCTCAAACTCATGTCCATTGAGTTTGTTATGCCATCCAACCATCTTATCCTCTGTCGTCCCCTTCTCCTCCTGCCTTCAGTCTTTCCCAGCATCAGGGTCTTTTCTAATGAGTCAGCTCTTTGCATCAGGTGGCCGAAGTATTGGAGCTTCAGCTTCAGCATCAGTCTTTCCAATGAATATTCAGGATTGATTTCCTTTAGGATTGACTGGTTTGATCTTCTTGCAGTCCAAGGGACTCTCGAGTGTTCTCCAACACCATAGTTCAAAAGCAGTTCAACACCACAGTTCAACACCACAATTCATCAATTCTTTGATGCTCAGTCTTCTTTATAGTCCAACTCTTACACCCAAACATGACTACTGGAAAAACCATAGCTTTGACTAGACGGACCTTTGTCAGCAAAGTAACACCTCTGTTTTTTAATATGCTGTCTAGGTTTGTCATAGCTTTTCTTCCAAAGAGCAAGCATCTTTTAATTTCATGGCTGCAGTCACCATCTGCAGTGATTTTGGAGCCCAAGAAAATAAAGCCTGACACTGTTTCCCCATCTATTTGCCATGAAGTGATGTGGCCAGCTGTTATGATCTTCGTTTTTGAATGTTGAGTTTGAAGCCAGCTTTTTCACTCTCTTCTTTCATCCACGTGAGTAGGTGGGAATACACAGTAGCTGCTAAAAGACTCCTTTGGAGGGCATTCCTTTCCTCAGTGGACTTTGAAATGTAAATGAAAAGATGCCTTTGGAACCTTGCTGCTCAAAGAGTGGTTGTGGACCACAAGCATCAGCATCTCCTGGGAGCTGGCCAGAAATTCAGAACCTCAGGCATTCCCAAATCTACCAAATCAGAATTTGCATTTTAACACAATCTTCAAGTGATTCATAGGCACATTGTAGTTTGAGATGCACCACTTTACATCTTGTATCAACAGAAAAGAGATGAGGAAGCCTGGTTCTAAAACTTCAAAGAAACTCACTTTTCTGTGTGGTGGAAATACATTTGTGATCTAAGAGAGTTCATCCAGGATTTGTATTGGGACTTTTGAAGAAAGGAGCTTTGGGAACCTAACCTGTTCATATGTGAAAGTTTCTAAGATTCTAAATATGGGTTGTATATCCCTATTTTCTGAAACAGAGAATAGAGTATAATTTAGATTTCTTAGTAGTTGAGATGGAGAAGGCAATGGCACCCCACTCCAGTACTCTTGCCTGGAAAATCCCAAGGATGGTGGAGCCTGGTAGGCTGCAGTCCATGGGGTCGCTAAGAGTCAGACACGACTGATCTACTTCACTTTCACTTTTCACTTTCATGCATTGGAGAAGGAAATGGCAATCCACTCCAGTGTTCTTGCCTGGAGAATCCCAGGGACAGGGCAACCTGGTGGGCTGCCGTCTATGGGGTCACACAGAGTTGGACACGACTGAAGCAACTTAGCAGCAGCAGCAGCAGTAGTTGAGAGGCAAAGTTATGAATATCTGTATATAAAAGAGTGATATTCTAAAGAGTTTTCAAGTTATATAGTAGATGCTCAGTAAATGAGAGTCTGCTCTATTCAATTAGCTTCAGAATACTAGCTTAGAAATTCTCAGAAGGTAGAGAACTGTGGGCTATGTTTATCATATTCTCAGTGGAATATATAAGGTTGTTCAATTGAACTAATTGCCTCAGGCTGCTATGTATTTTCACTTATACCTTTTCCCCAATTTTCTTGTCTCTCCTGTATTTATTCCACCAACCAATGGTGTTGCTGCTGCCACTGTGCCTATATCCACAGTGTTTCCTTCCTCTGCCCCATGATTTAGTCTTTCTAACCTGCTGTGGGCTGGGTGAGTGGAGAGCCACAGAAATTACCGTATAAATAAAATAACAGCCAAATATTCTAAATGAGAGCTTGAGAGGATTTTCTGTAAGTGCACTTTTTGCACACAGGCTATGTGGTCATTATTGGCCTAATAGTCCCACCCTTTTATTCATTTTTTTATCTTTTAGGATCTTAGTTGTCTTAGATATTTCAGACTTCAATGCTAGTTAAATGACATCAACATAGGTGATCAACTGATATGAACAACAGTGAAATTATTTCTTCCTGCCATAAGATGAATCTTGGAACTCAACTTAGGATGCTCTAAGAAAAAGAAGAAATGAAGATACACAGGGAACATGAGAAAAAAACAAAAGTAAGTTTAAAGAAAAAGAAAAATCAAAGAAATCCATATAAAAGAAAGTCAGTAGTGACATATGTAAAAGATGTATGTACACACACATATATATATATATGGGGACAGGTTACATCCTATTAATCTTTGTATTCCCAATACCTGGCTTATTAAAAATGCAATAAATGTGTAAACAGATCAGAATAAGGAGAAGAAAAAAGAAAACTGTGTCTTCATATTGGTAGAGGGACTCCTAATAGGGAATGCCACTAAAAGAGGGAAGGTGTTCTACAAAGGTCAAATGTGATTTAAAAACTAGAGGGGGTAAAAAAGCTGTGAAAGATGGAAGCCAGACACAACAGAGAAGGAACTGGATTAGCATTTTTTTGATATAAAAGTAGGTGTTCAGTTGCTCAAGCCTCCCACAACTTCTCTTACAGAGAATATGAGTCCCGAATTGGGGGTGACAAATAGTGGCACATGTCAGAATTTGACATTCAGCAAAAATGTCCCTCCTGCACCAGTGGCAGAGCTCACTTTCAATAACAGCATTTTTTCCTTTTGGACACAGACCTGGTCTCAGCATTGCCCATCAAAATAAGCAGGATTGACACTACCATATTGGGCACTCTGGCACTGTAATCACACACCTACAAAATATCACTTTCAACGATTGGCAAAAAATTGGAGAAATGTGCTGAAGAAAAGAACTATTATCCCCCAATGTAAAAAAAGAATGGAACCAATTCAGCTTCATTTTGCTATTCAAAGCAGTGGTTCTCAAATTTTCCAGTACATCAGAATTACCGGGAGAGCTTGCTTTTGGGTCCCATCTCCAGAGTTCAGTAGGTCTGGGGTGGGACCTGAGAATTTGCATTTCAAACACTTTAAGATTCACCATTCAAAAGAATACTGGAACAAATTCTAAATATGTAAAACTGAAAATCTTTTGACAAGCAAAATAGTATGTTGTAATTAGCATAGCTTTATGAGGAAAAATGTAAATTAACCAACTATAGCTTGTAGTGAATACAGCAAAGATTTTGATGCTAAATAGACTCTGGTTTAAGCTCTGGCTCTGCTATTTACAGATTCATGATTTTTACCAAGATTACTTAAACTTTATATAAGCCTTAGTTTCCTCTGGTAAAATGGGGATAAGAAAAATATCCCATAGAATTACTGTGAGGATTAAATGGGGTGGGGGTGGGGAATATATCTAAAGAGACTAGCACAGTACCTGGTACATAGTAAGCATTCATTCAGTCTTTCATCCTTTTCCTCTTCTTGGCTGACAGCAGTCATGGGTCTTGAAGCAATAGAGTGAAATAACATATTTTTCATAAAGACTGTAGAATCTGTCATGCAAAAAGACTCATAAAAATGCGAGAAAATATTACGATGAATTAGTGGACAAGTGTAAGCAGCTTAGGTGATAAAGATTGCAGGGAAGTCCAGTGGTTAAGACTCTGCTCCCAAAGCAAGGGACATGGGTTCGATTTCTAGTTGGGGAACTGAGATTCCCCATGGTTGGCCAAAAGAAGAAAAAAAAAAAGATTGTGGGGAAGAAGTGTTAAAACATAGCGTTCTCGTCCTCCTCTTAGAAGAGTCTCCCCTAAAGAGACAAGGTTCAACTTCATCCCCTACACCTGTGATTAAAATGGGCTTCTTACACCCAAGAGGATACATTCCAGGGGCAGAAAGCCAACTGCCTAATTATTCCCTTAACGGGCTTTTTTTTCCTGAGCCACTTTTCAAAGGACTCCCAGGAAGTGTTGAAAACTGTTATTGTATAATCTTCTTGATGAAGCAAGGTGTGACCTTTTGCTCACACAGAGGCTTAGGTTTTTGTGGAAAAGCTGCTAATGCTGTGGAAAAGCAGTTGCTCATTTTGTGTAGATGAAATATAACGTATTGTTGAAAATCCTAAAACTCCAAAGTACAAATTATTACAAAACACAACTGTTAATTGTATATTTGATGATATACAAATACATAATTTTTAATGATTTTAGGTATAACAGTACTGTGATTATGTTATGCATTTAAGATACATGTTTAATGCTTACCTATAAAATAGTATGTCTGAGATTTGTTTCAAAATAATCTCAGGAGAGTAGAGGTTGGTGCCAGTATAGATGAAACAAGATTATCCCGAATTGACAAATGTTGACTAGTTGATGAGTATATGATAGCCCATTATACTATTTTCTCTTACATTGTATTTCTTTTATTATCTACCTAAAATGTTAAAAATTCAAGTAGTTTTTACCAATGTGATACTGTTTTCTAGGACAGGATCGTCTTATATGTGTAATTTTCTCTAAAGATTCTGAAAATTTACATTTAACAAGTTCATAGGCTTTAAACCTAGGAATCTGACAACGTATCTTCCACATGCAGGAACTAGTATATTTTAGCATTTGGTACTGTTTGGGTCCTTTATTAGTGTAAATGTATAAAATGGAAAGGAAAAATTAACCAGAATTGTGGAAATAATAAACATAAATTCCAAAAAGAAAACCTACAAATCCAACTACTGAAATCCTATTTGTGATTCATCTAGTGCATTAAAGCACCAAGTATCATTAATTCATGGCAATAATTAAAAGGGGAACTTTGCATTATTCTACAACTCACTTTATGGTCGGTATAATCATTCAGTAATTAGAAATATCATCTTGCTGGATTCCATTCGGAATTCGATGTTTTTGAACAATTTCATTTCCAACACAGAGTAAGTGTGGCAAAACGACTTGGGTAATGTAGTCCAGGGCTTGCTTGCCAGTTAGCATGCTGGGACATGCCAGAGATTCAAATATTTCCCTCACGAGGACACACGAAGCTGAGTTCTTGCTTTGGGTGTTACAGCTTCTCTTCAGAATACCAGCAGGATGAGCCAACCCTTGGCAAAAATCTCGAGGAGGTGAAGTTTGTCTTTCAGTTTCCCTTACTCCATCTTCCCCTCTGCTCTTCCCAGTATGTAAGTCAGTGCAAAAAGTTCTCCGTTCTGACTGAGATTCTGTGTTTATCATAGAGAAATGTTTTATAATTGCCGAAGGGCAGGGCGCTTGGATGCCTATTTCCTTCAGAATTTAATATTAAGGGGGAAAACACCTCAAGATTAGAAAAACAAAGACAAACCCCGGGTTCCTCTTCGGAGGAAGGGTGAGTAGGGTCAGTCCGGCCAGACGGAGCCCTGGGCCCCGGATATCACCCCGCACGCAGCTCTCGAACTCCCTCCCCACCGCCGCCCCGCGCCCCTTCGACCCAGGTCCACCACTCTCGCCCCGGGAGGCCGCCGCCCCGCGCCCCGCCTCCGGCCTGGGTGCGTCGGGCTCCGCCTGCAGGGGGCGCTGCGGCGAGCGCAGCCCGTGCCTGAGGGGAACTACGCGGGGGTGGGAGTCCCGCGGCTCCGCGCTCGGGGCGGCGGCGGGGCAGGGTCCCGGTGCCCGCGGCGGCCCAGCTGGGCTGCGCAGTGGGGCGTGAGCATTCCAGCCGCGGTCCCGGGTGACTCCCTCGGTGACGCCGGCCGCGTTCTTTCCTCTTCCTCTCGCCTCTCCGGCCCCGCCTTCCCTTTTCCTCCGCCCACCCTGCCGAAGCCGAACCGCCGCCGCCAGCAGCGCCGTCATGTCGGCCCCCGCCGGGTCCCCTCATCCGGCCGCCAGCGCCCGGATCCCGCCCAAGCTTGGCGGAGCCGCCGCCTCAGGAGCCGCCGCGCCGGCAGGCCCGGGCCCGGGGCCGCACCAGCAGAACGGTGAGGAGGGCGGCCGGGTCGGAGCGCGGGGCCTTGCCCCGGCGCGGGCCGACCCGGGGCATCGCGGGCTCGGGCTGCTTCCACTGGAGTGTGGCCCCAGGCCCTAAACCGCCGGGGCGAGTTGGGGCGTAGAAAAAGGGCAGCCCAGAGACCACGTGAATCGCGGTTATCCAGCCCCGGGCGCGGGCGAGGTGCCCCGAGCGACCCCTGTCGCGTAGAGACCCGGGGCCGCAGAGTGCGTGGTCCTTCGAAGGCTGCTTGTAGCCATGGAGCTGAGGAGGGTTGTGCCCTCCCTGTCTCGGGGAAAATTGCTCTGATTTTTGAGGCCCGGCGAGCACGCTGCCTGGAAGGAAACTTCAGTTAGTGCTCAAGTTTGTAGACAAAGGGTGTAAATAGGCAACACGAGTGTAACTGTAACCCTGACCCAGTTCGGCCTTCGAGATCTGTCGTTGCTGCTGCGGCCGCTACTCGAGCGTCTGGAACTGGCTGGTCGTGTTTGAAAAGGAGCAGGTGTCAAACGGATTTAAACGAATACTTTCAGATCTGGGTGTCCCCCGCCTCTCCCCCGTCCCCCAGCTTCACTTTCAGAAACAAAAACGTGCCAGAGTTGGCCCTGTTTGGGGCAAGGCCTTCATACCGGCAGCAGGCATTGCAACGTGAAGGCCGCTTTCAGACTAAGGTCGTGGGGATTCGGGACGTAGCAGTCTCCGCTGAAAAATGATGCTTGTAGAATATCCATTCCCTCAGTTTGGATGGGCCCCGGGGAGAGGGACCCTCTCTGTATAAACGGTAGTATTTCCGATGAGGACGCTCGAAGCTAATTGACTGAATACTTTACAAGAATATGTCTGGTTCTCTGTTTGTATAAGAGAACAAAGTCTGGTGGTACTCTTCAAATGATTGTTGGACTGACCTGTTTTACCCAGTCTGCTAGTGAAAACTTACTGGACTTTATAAATCAGTTCAGCGAACATTTAATTTTTATAGCTGATGCTGTTCACGCTTGCAGTTTATCGTTTATCCTGAGAACCAGAAGTTGAGTTTTTTTTTTTTTTGTAAGTCAAACGTGATGGCTTAGTCTTCATAATCCTTTGGATCAGCCATAGTTGTCAATGTTACATGCAGTACTTTTTCTGGTCATTGTTTACTGTATGGGTTTTGAATGTAAACAGTGTAGTAGGTTTTGTTCTTCTGCCCTGAACAAACATGAAGATATTATTTTTGAGCAGTTTTTGTTCTTGTAAACTTAGCATAAATTCTCGTTTTTGTTTAGTTTTTGAAATAGCTTTCTGTATGGAAGAACTGAAAGAAGAGATCCCCAGTCTTTCAGAATATTGTAAATCCATGTTTAATAGTGATCCAAGGATTGTGTCTTTTCTTGATTTTCTGATTATGCATTATTGTTATAGTGTACAGTTTTTAAGGTGACAAATATTTGCCTTAGTCTTACAAATTTTGTGAATACTCAAGGAGTGACAGGATATCAGTTGTAATCAAGATGTTAAATATGTAAAAAATCAGTTAATACGTTTAGAAGCCAGATATAAATGATGCTTGCTTTCTACTGTTTATAATCATTACTTTCCTTTGATATAATTCATTTCAGCATTTGTTGCATGCTTGCAGTTGGGGACTCGAGATTAGCCTAGTAGATAAAACAAAATCCCTGCCTTTCTCCTAAATTGACATATATTTTGGTGACATTCAAGTTGGTTTTGACCTTGAGGAATTTGACAGGTAGAGGTAGGAGGGGAGGGCTGTTGCAGGGGCATGAACCAAAGTTGAAAAATTTACGAACCAAGAAGCAAAAAGAGTGCCAGGTGAGAGGGAAAACCCAAGGGATTAAAGCTGAAAAGAATACTTAAAAGGGGCCAGATTACAGAAAGGTCTTGAGTGTTAAGGAATTTGGAAATTAAGATAAAGAACTAGAGTTAATTTTTGTTTGTTTTTGTGAAAATAAGTGGCTTAAGTAGATAAATAACAAGATCAAATCTGTTTTTGTTTTGCTTGTTAATCTCAGAGAAAAGTAACTTTTGCTTTTGGAATCCATAGATAACGGTTAAGCAATCATTTGGGTTTGTGATTGATTCTTCGGTCCTGCATAAACTAGTTTGCCTTTTTATATCTCTGTGGAATTCCAGGCGTGATGAAAAAGAAATAGATCAGAAGTATGAGTTTGAAACATCACAGAAGACAGTTGTAAAACTGGAGTGGTACCTACCAATCACTTACTTTAGTGTTTATCAAACATTTTTAAAAACAGATTTCTTTTCCCAGAGGAATTTGTAGAGCCCTGCTACAGACATCTGAAAAAAGCAGAGCTGTTGTGGTTAAAATAGAGGTGGAGGTCCAGGTGTTTTTGGAGTACAGCCTATAAGACACCTAGTTCGATTCCCTAATTAAACAGATGAAATCAAGATCCAGAAAGTTTTGGATGGGTGTTTTTCACCAATTCCTGTATAATCTTCTTGAGGGTGATTGGCTGTATCCTGTTTACTGCTGTTTACTCAGTGTTTTCGAGGCCTAGAACAAGTTATAGTTTCATTTGTTAAATGAAGTCTAATACAGTTTTTCTAGTTTCAAGTCCAGATCTCTTTCTATTAACAGACTCTAAGAAGTCTCTTATTGGAAACTTTGACTTTGGAAAGGGTTGGGAGGCAGAATCCCTGCGCCCCCGCCACTTATTTGAAGTTACTATTTGACTTCTTTGAGTTTGTGAATTATTTCTTTTTGAACTTTCTTCCTTGGAGTTACATTTCTCTACTTCAGTTTTTCACTGAGCAGCATATGGGCAGTTTAGAATCATTGTATTTTCGTAGAAAGTATTAGTTGAATATTTTTCAGCTTACACTTTGCCTTTTAAGAGTCCTTCCAAAACAGAGTCCTCAAACAAGGAAAGACTGAGTGAATAATATCCTGGTAATTACGGCATAACCCCATTGTTGTTGTTTAGTTGCTAAGTCATGTCTAATTCTTTTTGGGTCTGTGGACTGTAGCCTGCCAAGCTCCTCCATCCATGGGATTCTGAAGGCAAGAATACTGGAGTGGGTTGCCATTTTCTTCTCGAGGGACTCTTCCCAACCAAGGGATTTCACCCATATCTCCTGCATTGGCAGGCAGATTCTTTACTTTGAGCCACCAGGCAACCTGGCATAACTCCATAATTTCTCCCAGTTGACTTAAATTGAAAGAGGTATTTTAGAAGTGGTTTTTTGTTTGTTTGTTTGTTTTGGTGGGGGGCACTCAGATTTATCAGTAAAACTCTGCTTTCTGATTCTTCTTTTAGGAAGCAAATGGTTTTCAAATGAAAATGTGTTTTCTTCCTACCATGTGCCTTTCCCAAGAAGATACTATCGGCAGTTTTATCATTTTATTGTCCATAATGCAAGAAAGATGAGATAGTAATGGGAATTATCAGACTTCATTACTTTATTATTAGACTTCATTACATAAACTGGAGAAGGAAATGGCACCCCACTCCAGTGTTCTTGCCTGGAGAATCCCAAGGACAGGGGAGCCTGGTGGGCTGCTGTCTATGGGGTCGCACAGAGTCAGACACGACTGAAGCAACTTAGCAACAGCAGCAGCATTACATAAACATACCTTTCACTCAGGAATACTATCTGGTGGGTTGTAGGAAACGGTTCAACTTTGAGAGCACATGCAAAATTTAAAATCATACAAGTGTACATACAGATACTAGTGTATCTGAAGTAAGTCCTTTTTGATCAGAGCAGTGTCTTTGTCTCAAGTTTCTAGTCTTCCTTTATAGCCAACCAGAAGCATCTGGTCCTCTCTTGAAGACAGTGCCATGGTATAATATAACTTTCTGCATACATAATTTCCTCCTAAACTGGTTAATAGATGTCTCAAGGATCTTATAAAATATATACACAAGTGTCTGTTGTCTGGATTGTTTTTACTTTTTGTTGTTGTGTTGTTTTAGTTATTTTTATTGTATTTTCATTCCCACCCCACACCTCCCCCTCAATTTCTGAGATAATATGTGTAATAATTTTTGTAGATCACATTCATTGCCACTGATCCCGGTATTTCAGCTAACTTCCATCTTTCTGATTGATCTGTAAACCCTGAAGTATTATATGCTAAAGACGTTGAAATAGAAGGGATTTTGAGTCAAATCTTCAATGGACTTTCCTAGAAATGAGAGCATCTTCAGAGTTAGCACTGCGTGTTAGAGCAGATCTTGTATTCAGCCCTGAGGAAGCTGCTATTATTTCCAGTAGGTTAAGCATACTCAGAATTGCCAGAAAGTGTAGGCTAGTGAAAAAAGGTATAGGTTCTGTTACAGCCCAGGGTTTTGTGGAGAAAATTACTTAACATCTCTGGGCTTCAGAGGATAATAATACCTTCTTCTTAGAGTTGTTGAGAAGATTACATTAAATGAGGTGCTGTTTTTTAAAGTACCTGGTGTTTAGTAAAATGAGATGCTTTGCAAATGAGGGCCTCCTTCATTTCATTTCCTTCAAAACACCAGGATATAAATTCTTCAGGCAGCAGAGACCATGTGAGTTTTCCTCCTCATGTTCCCAGTGGCAGCATGCGATAGGCACTCGATGGAGTACGTGAACTTGGCTACTAATTTTCTCACACTGTCCAGCCCTCTCCGCAAAGAATCTGCTCTTGGAAGGCTTCCTCCGATAGGCCACTACCTCAGCTAGCTGGTCTGCCAGAAGAGGGGTTTTAAGTTTTCTACGATTGCATGCCGAATGCTGCCAGGAAAAGAATTTGAGGAAAAGGGAGGTAAAATAGGGAAGCAAGAGGGAGTAGTAAAATGCCTTGCCTAGACCGTAGCCAAGTCCTAACTCGCTTGTTTTTTCCTAGTGTTTCTGAGAAATAGGTATTGTGAAATGGGTTTGGAACCTTCACTGACTGGCATCTTTACTACTTCCGAACTGTGTGAAATTGTATGAATTAATAACCTTTCACGTCCTTGTTTGTTTGTAAAGTGATGATAGTGATACTTCACAGGATTTTAT